CTTCCATCCATCCACCCATCCATCCATCTATCCATCCATCCTTCCATCCATCCACCCATCCATCCATCTATCCACCATCCTTCCATCCATCCACCCATCCATCCATCTATCCACCATCCTTCCATCCATCCACCCATCCATCCATCTATCCACCATCCTTCCATTCATCCATCCACCCATCCATCCATCTATCTTTCCATCCATTCATCCATCCTTCTTTCCATCTATCTACCATCCTTCCATCCATCCACCCATCCATCCATCTATCTTTCCATCCATTCATTCATCCTTCTTTCCATCTATTCACCATCCTTCCATCCATCCACCCATCCATCCATCTATCTTTCCATCCATTCATTCATCCTTCTTTCCATCTATCCACCATCCTTCCATCCATCCACCCATCCATCCATCTCTTTCCATCCATTCATTCATTCTTCTTTTCATCTATCCATCATCCTTCCATCCATCCACCCATCCTCCCATCCATTCATCCATCCTTCTTTCCATCTATCCACCATACTTCCATCCATCCACCCATCCATCCATCTATCTTTCCATCCATTCATCCATCCTTCTTTCCATCTAGCCACCCATCCTTCCATCCATCCATCTATCTTTCCATCCATCCACCCATCCTTCCATCCATTCATTCATCCTTCTTTTCATCCATCCACCCATCCATCTATCTTTTCATCTATTCATCCATCCTTCTTTCCATCTATCCATCCATCCTGAATCCATGAATTCTTCCACCCACTCATGCATGCTCCATGTGACAAATACTGTAGTTAAAAGGATTGTGTCATTTCACATGAAGAGCAGGATTAGAATGCCAACACTTGTGTATTTCATATGGGAACATTTACTTAAATGTGTTGTGGAAGGAATAGGACAGTAGGGTTAACGTGAATATCATTTGTTGACTGTTTACTTCTCTCAGGAGCTGTACTTAGAATTTGACAGTAATTATTTCATTTAGTTTCTGGGGTATGGACTTACTCCTCAATTTTTAAAGAAAGATGTCTGAGCTATGGCCATTAGAGTCATCTATGTCAGATGACAAGCACAGGACTCTAACCCAGGTTTCTACTGGATTATATATATCCACATTCCACCACCTGCTATATCCCCTTTCTCCTTTTCTAAGTGCATATGAATGATTGTTGTATCTAAAATGCTGTATAAGTGATAGTTATATCTATTTATTCATATGCTCCTTTTCTTTCTCAGTAGATTCTAATATTTATTATTATTTATTCTAATATTCTATTTATTACTGTATTTATCTACAAAGGATATAACTGAAATTTGAGACAATAATTGCCTTTATAAGTTATGTTCTATTTTCTTCTCTACAAATATGTATAATTGATGTTCAAGCATTTCTATTTTTATTTTTATTTTCCTTTTCAGCATTTGGTCAGAATGAATGCCATGATCCCGGCATTCCTGTAAATGGACGGCGCTTTGGTGACCGGTTTCTACTTGGTAGCTCAGTGTCCTTCCACTGTGATGACGGTTTTGTCAAGACCCAGGGATCGGAGTCCATCACCTGCATCTTGCAGGACGGGAATGTGGTCTGGAGCTCCACTGTTCCCCGCTGTGAAGGTACAGCTCCTGTCACCTGGGGTCCTTCTCCTCTGATATCACATAACTGTCCTCAGACAGCATTAGTGTGCTAGGGCCACCCTCACAAAGGCCCACCAATGGTGCTTTAACCAACAGAAAAATACAGTCCCACAGTTCTGGAGGCTGGAAGTTTGAGGCCACGGTGTCAACAGGGTGGGTCCCTTCTGAGGGCTGTGAAGCAGGAACTGCCTAGACCCCTCCTCTGGCTGGTGGCACAGGCCACAGCTTTGGAATTCCATGGTTTGTGGGAGAATCACCCGAGTCTCTGCCCTTATATTCATTCTCCCTGTGTGTGTCTGCCCCCGTCTCAAGCTCCCCTTTTTATGAAGACATAGTTGTGTTTGTTTAGGAGTCTCTCTGTTCAAGTAAGACCGTATCTTATAAACTACAGCTGCAGTGACCCTATTTTCATATTTAATTGCAGTCTGCTCTTCTGAAAAGTGGGACCACACCATATGAATTTTGGGGTTGGGGGAGAGAGACACAGTCATCCCATAACAATGTGGATTTAGTTAACTATTTTGTTACTCTTACTGTAGTCGACATAAACACTACCCAATTTTCTTCTTGATATTTCTATTCTGGTTACTTATCTGATTAAAAATAGGGAAAAAAATAGGGAAAAATATTGAGCCTCTCATTATTAATCATTTAAAAATATTTACTTAGATTATATATTCACATTTCCTATCAGAGTAGTATAGGTACAATGATCTAAAAAGAATTTTTTAACTTCTCATAGATATAAAAGAAATACATATTTAAATATAGAACTAAAATACCATTTTTCTCTGTGTGACTGGCAAAGATTTAAACATATTAATAAGATACATTATTGACAAGGTTATAGAAAAATTGGTATTTCATGGTCATGCTATTGAGGATTTAAAATCACTGCATCACAGTGAACACTCATGAAAAGAGTCTGAAATGCTTTTGCCTTTGAGCCATAAATTATAGTCCTGAATCAATATCATAAGGAAATAGTCAAGCAACCATGAAAAGGTGTTTGTTCAAGAATACTTTTTGTAGAACTATTCGTAATGATGCAGAGTTGGAAACATCTAAATTTCCAACAATAGAAGATTGCTTAGTTGAATCATAATATATTCTTTATCAGGATCCTGTGCATCATTAGCAGATTATAGGAGCACAGACACTCGTAAACCGATGTCATGTGAACAACTAGATGATGCACACACACGTGTAGCAGTGTGCCACTTGTGAAACATATAAATACATACATCACTCATGGTAATAAGTTAAACTGAAAAGAAAGCTGCACAGAAAAATGTTCATCATGGTCAGTGGTGTGTTTCCCCCTCTTGTTTATTTTTATTTTCCTAGCTCTTCTGTCAACATTTATTTATTTTTCATATAAATAGAAAAGAGATATATGTCAGTTGTAACCTGTGGTTGAGGATCACTGTCCTTTCTAGAATGACTTGGCATGATAACGCCAAACCTGTGATCTCCAGTTGTCTAAGCAGAGCCAGAATGTACAAACTCCTCGGGGGCAGGCAGCAGCCTGGCCGGGCACAGCTGTGCCCCCCGTGTTGCCCCCATGCTCCAGGCCCCCTCCCCACCTCCACAGTTACGCACCATCACGTGAAGGAGACATTTCTAATCAGGTCCTACTGGCTGTTTTGTGTGGGGATGCTCAGAAAGGTGTTCTGGTTTTCACGATTTTGTAAATTGTTAAAATGATCTAGTGGACTGTGAGCCCCACCCCAGGTTGAAAATTGATCAATGGAAGCGCCAGAAAACAATTGTAGATTTTTTCATTGCTATCTATTTTCATCACACATTTTAAATGTATAGTTCTTTGTTTTATGTTTTATAAAATGTTAATAAATAGGTGCGGTTTTATCCTTTAGGGTGTTAACAGAGGAAACCTTAACAGAAAGGAGTAGTTCATGGGGAACAATTTTGAAAGCTTAGACTGTATTGAACAACTCAGTCACTGAGTTCTGATGAGTGTCGATAAAGATGGATCCTCTGATGATATGGCTAGCTAGATCACCGATCAATGCCCCTTCTGAATAAAACCAAAAAGAAAAGATAAGAAATCTGACTTTCAGAAGTAAACACTTATAGAAGGAAAAAAAATAAGATGTCCATCAAAAAGTGAGTAATACAAACTAAAATTGACTTGAGAGACACAAAGAATCTTGTATTCCTTACAGAATGATCATGTTTATTGCTTTCATCATAGATTTTTTAAATCACTTATATAATTAATCATAAAGTGCACTTAGTAAATTAAAATAGGTAAGGCCACATATTCTATAAAATTCCAAATAATGTATTACTATAAGTATATAATAAAAATAGAACCACAAGCAAATCTCTATAAATCAGAAAGTTTACTATAACTGCATATTAAAGAGAAACTCAAATCTTAACTCCCACAGTATTTAGAAACCATGAGAAAGAGAACAATTTCCATCAAAAAATGATACTGCACAGCCTAACTTCTGCTATGAGCAAAATATGTATCTTAAAGACCATCGATGTAGAACAAAAAGATCAAAAATATAAGAACCTGAGTGGTGTCTTTGGCTCAGTGGGTAGGACACCAGCCCCATATATCAAGGGTGGCAGGTTCAAACCCAGCTGCAGCCAAAGTGCAACAACAAAAATTAACTGGGCATTGTGATAGACGCCTGTGGTCCCACCTACTCAGGAGGCTGAGGCAAGAGAACCTCCTAAGCCTAGGAGTTGGAGGTTGCTGTGAGCTGTGTGACAGAACTGCACTCTACCGAGGGTGATAAAGTGAGACTCTGTCTCCACCAAAAAAAAAAAAAAAAATACATATATATATGAATTATATATGTATATATATATAAATATATATGAATTGTATAAATGTGTATATATATGTATATATATATATATATAAGAACCTAATACTAAGATTGAATGCTTAGAATAAAAGAAAAATAAATTAGGACACTATATTAATAAAAATCAAATGTTAGAAACAACTATGAATCTGATGATGGAAACTAAAGTTACAGATATTTGGGAATATAAAGAGAAATCATCATTATTACAAAAATAATATAATATTACATGAATACTGGAAGCTTCGCAATAAAACAATTTTTTTTTATTTGTTTGTTCTGGCATAATTTACTAGATGCCAGATGCATCTCGGGTATAAATCATGCCGCCTCTGAGCAAAGGTTTTCTCTGTCCCTCTGAGTTACATTCCTCAGCACAGCGCAGGGACAGCCTTCAAAACACAAGTTATTCTGGAGGAATATAGCTGCGTGTGAGCACATCCTCAACTTCATGACATCAAATCATTACGGTCTGTAGGAAATTGGTGATTTTCCAACAAAATATGAAATATCCAGTGTGAATCAAATAAAAAGAGTAGCATAGAAAATATTTGCAAAAAGACTAAAGATTGAACGTGGAAAAGACACAAGTACCAAGCAGATGCATCCGTGAGTTACCCGTCTCTTAAAGGCAGCCGATTTTAGTGCTGAGAACAGGAGCGCAGATAACGGAGAAGATGCGGGGCCTTCCTATGTAACATTTGATACATTCAGCGTCAGTGTAACCCAAAATCAAATAATCAGATTAGATAAAAAGCTATAGAAAAACCGTATTTATATAATCAGGAAGGATTTATTTTAGAAATACAATATCAGAGAATTGACCGCTGTAATTTGAATCATCCAAAAAAAATCAAAGGAGAATTTGCGTACTAATGAGCTAGTTGCCGCAGCTGCTGTCTCCTATCAGCTGTGTGAACAGGGACGTCAGTGGAGCTGTTATCAAATGTTCTTGATCTCCACAAGTAGAATATCTTCTCACTCCCCCCCCCCCAGGGTTTAACAGGATTTTGTGAAGGGTTCTGGCCAATTAGGGATCTGTGGAGGTGCAGTAATCACTTGATCACCTTCAGCTGTTTGTGCAAGATCCTTCTCCATTTGCTGCCCCAACGTGAAGGAAGGAGCTGCGTCTCTGAGCCCTACACACGTGGCTTGTGTGAGAAATACACCTCCCTACTGATGGTACTGAAATTGTAGAGCTGTTACAACCGTGGTATAACCAAATCTAAGCTAATGACATCAAGTTGTCAAGTTTGGGGTCATCGTCTAATATTTCAGTGTTAATTTTATTCATCTACAATATAAGGATTAAAATGTCTATTTCACCCAGATAAAGCAACACAAGTTCTAAAGGATACTGCAAATTATATAGTGATGTGAAAAACAGTAGAATAGGAAAATAATTAATAGTAGTAGAGTGTGCCAACAGGCATATTTCAAGAAATTCAAAAATACAAAATTAAAAAAATTAAAATGAATCCTTTTCGCTTTGTATTTATGTGGAAAATAGGACAGGAAATAATACATCATGGAGATTTAGAAATCTCTCATGTATCATAAAATGTTTAAAATTTTATATTTGCCGTATGTCTTTTTTATGTGGTGTATAGTCAGTTAAACGTGACATAAGTAAAATTAGTGTATGTAATTCTGATTACCTTACATTCTTAAAAGGGCTTGCTATATTATCTAAAAACAAAAACAAAAAATTAAATCTATTCACATATAATATTTTTACATGTGGATGCATGATTTCCCAGGCTACAAATAAGAATTTAGAGATTTAACTAGAAAAATTATATTAGTAAAAATGGTTTTTTTTAAATTGTCATTACATAAAATTAAGTGTTCTTAAGAATTCAAATTTATAAGAATTACTCTGATTCATATTACATTTTCTAACTATAGAAATAATGAATAGTTATAGAAATAATTATTATAGTTTATTTGGCAAAAAAGAACTACATAAAAAACGTGGTCCACATTAACTTAATAACACAGCATTAACTATCACTGATATATTTTTAAGTTTCCATTTATCTTTCATCTGAATACAATTTTTCCTTAATTAAATTCAGGCTATACTCCATGGACAATTTTGTATCCTACTTCTCAAATGTTTAATATTCTACTGTGAATATTTTCTCATACCAACAAAATTCCAAACATTATGGCAAATGTACTTGCTACATTCCAATATGTGTCATACCATTTTATCATTTTTTACATTTCTTTTTTCTTTATTTTTTATTTGTTATAAATGAAGCTGCTATGACTAAATATATATATTTCATTAATCCAAGTATTTTTCTTGGATCAAAACCTGGATAAAATGGTATAAACTGTCTTAGCATTTTGGTGCATACAGAATTTTTTTCTTTTTCTTTTTCTTTTTGTTTTGTTTTGTTTGGCAGGCTCTGGCCAGGTTCAAATCCACCATTCCTGGTGCACAAGCCTGGCACTCTAACCACTGAGTGACAGGTGCCCAGCCTACATCCAGGTTTTCAAGGAAAGGAATATTTTTCTTTGTGAAAAGTACACATTTTCCCATAGTACATTTGATATCTATAAATTTGCAAAGAAAATTACCAATGGCAAAGAATTTTGAGAGGGGATACAGAGAAATCTGGATAACACATGTGGCCAGACAGAGACGTGTTCTCCATTGGTTATTAACTATCTATTTGCTAAGAAAGAATCAGTGCCATCTGATTCCATGCTTATGGGATTTGGCTGAAAATGCTACTGTGTTTTTCTAACACCAATAATTTAATATGTTATCCATGGCTAATTATTTTAATAAAATGCACACAACCCAACATAACTAAACACATACACAGACCCACAGGCACACACCTCAAGAGGATTTCGATGTGTAGATGTGAAGTGGCTTTAAATTTGTTGATCAATACGTATTTGTTGAATTCTAAATGCATATAAAATACAGATAATATGGGTCTGTACCTCACAGGTTCTTGTGATGATTCCTTGAGATCATTAATCTAGCACGGAGAACTCACACTTCGTCATTTCACCCCACCATTAGTAGAGGAGAAGAGCTTAGCTTCAAATTAATAATAAATCACCAGAAATGGGATACATAGACCCTGTTTTTAATAAACTTATAGTTTGTTTGGTAATTAGTTTTGCTTTAGTACTTGAAAATATCAGACCCCTGAATACAGATCCTTGCTTTTATCAAGGTACTGTCATTACTATTTAATTCTACATTTAACTCAACCTAATAAATACCATGTACTTTTTTTTTCAGCTCCATGTGGTGGACACCTGACAGCTTCCAGTGGTGTCATTTTGCCTCCTGGATGGCCGGGATATTATAAAGATTCTTTAAATTGTGAATGGATAATTGAAGCAAAACCAGGCCATTCTATTAAAATAACTTTCGATAGGTAAGAAGAAAAAAAAATTCTTCATTTGGACCTAATGACTTGTGCCTGTTCCATGTTTTTAGGAAATTTAGCTTAAAACTTAAAAAGATGACCACTCTCTATCCATCCCCCTAAAGGAACTCACTTAACCAGAAATAGTATCAAAACTTGATACATACAGTTAAATCGCAGGTGTGCAGACCACGGTGGGAGGGGCTGGTCCTGGTGGGCCACTGTCCAGGTTTGACCCTGGGGTCTGGCTCTGCAGTTTGGACTGCAATTGAATCAATTCTGCTTTGGTGTGTGACTATACAAGAGATCGGCTTTGGGGACCTTCTGTGGCATCAGGAAAACAACCCTACCCCACCCCCACTGTGGGATGGCCCATGGGGTCCTCAGAGAAGAACAGTTAATAACTCATTAATTACCTACGGATGATATCATCACTGGAGTGTGGTTTGGCTTAGCGATTTGATAACCTACTTGATGATTTTTAAAAATATGCATGCTGTTGAATTCTGCATGATAAAATGGCTTCCCGTTTATTGCAAAATTGAAATCAAACTTCTGTTTAAAAAGCAAAAATGTATTGCCACGAACCCTGTGCTCGTAATTCTGGGGCAACATCTTTGTTTAATACGTGACTGTTAATGTCCCAGTCACCCTGGGCTTTCTCTAACAATGACCTTCTTGGCTAGAGTGCATCCTGCATTTCAATACTTAGGGTATTACAGTGTCCCAGAAGAGATGAATATGATGTTTATTTTGTTTTCCAGTGATTTTACAATGATCAATTATAATGTCAATGCAAGAAAGGTTTTTACCAGGAGTTATCTTTTAGCGATTATTTTTATTTACAATTATTTTTCATATGATCCCTTAGCTATGCTCAGAAGATGAAAAAAAAAATGTGATTTCCAGACCCACTATATTGAAGGTGACTTACTGTGTAGAATCTTAATCACTTGAAAAAATAATTAAATCTACAAATATTTAGTAAATTAGGGATAGTTTCCTATTAATTTTTTATGCTTCTTGGCACTAGGGGGAGGGGCTGAATGAAGCAAGCCTAGGTTCCCAGCAGCGTATGAGATTTATGTCATTTTGTAAAAATAGTGGTTTTTTATTCTCATTTGGCATAATAGCATTTCATTTTCAGTTGCCTGAAATGAAGTTTCGTTGATTCATTTATTTCATTCTTGTTTAATTTTTCCCAGTCTTGTCTTTTCAATATTTTTTTTCAGTGTCGTGTTTTGCTAAATTCCCTGTGGGAATACCTCCTATTTCTGACATTTTCAGACATGTGTGAGCTTTACCCTAGATCAGGAGCGGCCAACCTATGGCCCATAGGATGCATGCAGATTCTTGGAGGACTGTAAAAAGTATGCAGGAATCTTTTTCTTTGCTCATCAGCTTTCTAGCCTCTGTTTTACGTGTGGCCCAAAACAACCCTTATTTTTCCAATGTAGGGCAGAAAAGAGAAAGGTTGGACACCCTGTCCTAGATAAACATCCCTCCCTTAGAGCCTGCTCCATGCTAGTTTCTGCCTCGGGCTGCACCCTCATAAAGGAAGCGTTTGTGCGCGAGTCTCGAGCCCCCCACTGTGGTGCTGTCCCTCAGCCTGCACTGACTTGCATAGCAATGAGGAGCCTGCAGATGTTTCTGTTTCCTGGAACTGCTCCAGCTGCGAGATGTGCCCTCTGTAGGTCTCTGCTGTCTCTAAAGAAAGGGGACATGAATACTTGGGGGTGAATAGACCAGATGAAACTACTTTTCTGTTTAGCTGCATTTCTAGAATTTGTACTCAGAACAACTGAGAAACCACAGAGGCCAGAGAAAGTTTTAGAAAAGGGACGGACAAAGCTGGGGCTCTCTGAGCACAGTCGCAGCAGCCTGTGGCCTCGGTTGGGTCCAGCCACATGATGTGCAAATTGTCTGATTCCTCTTTGTGGGAGATCAGGTTTCAGGGTTGCAAGAGCATCTCATTACTGTGCCTTTACCCTGGGAGGAGCACGTGCTTGATGATGAATGGAGCAGAGCCCTTTTCTTTCTACACCCTTTTCTGTTGCCACGTGCCGTGAAATTGAGATGCCTTCCTCTCCCCAGAGCTGCCTCCCTCTTTATCAGAAATATCCAGGGCAGAGCATGGGGGGTAACGGCAGAGGCTCGGCGCCACTGAGTGAGTCAGAGGCTTATGAGGCTAAAACTGCTCCCTGAGAGCAGAGTCAGACACTGGAAACCAGGTTAGCTCTTTGAGGACAAGATAGGCCTCATTTAGGAAATTATCTCAGTGCCTGGAATGGAACCTTCATTGCATCAAAGGATACCCAAGTGGCTGAAACTTTATATAATCTCATCTCAGGCCAGATTCTCTGGAAGTTGAGCACTTTTGGAAGCTGTCCTAACTTTTTCAAGTTGTTGAAGAATCATTTGGTTGCTGAGGTACCAATAATATACTCAGGGTTATTCTAGTGCCTGAAAGAGTTAATGCAATTTTAAAAGGCATGGAAGTTTTTGTTTTTGTTTTTGTTTTTTCAGTGAAAGATATTTAAAGTATTGTCCCATATTTTAAATTACATTTCTTGTTTAACAGATAATGTCGCTACAGTATGCACCATTTAAGATGCCCATGATCACGTTAAATAAAGAATGATGAGAAATAGTTTGAAAATATATACTAATGGATTATTCACTAATCAGTGATTATTTATTTTTAAAAACCCACAACATAGTGGACTTTGGATAGGCTGATTAATTCCCCCTTTTTGTAACTGTGTTATTACAGGATATTAGATATAAGATGAAGGGATTTAGGACATGCCGATTCTTGTAGAAAAAAAAATGAAACATGCTAGTCTTACATATTATATGGACTCCCAATTTTAAAAAGTACATATGTAACTTTAAATATCTTAGTTATATGGATATAAGTGGGTTTCCAATTAACATGTGAAGATACGGTGAGTCTTACATATTATATGGACTCCCAATTTTAAAAAGTACATATGTAACTTTAAATATCTTAGTTATATGGATATAAGTGGGTTTCACTTCACAATTAACATGTGAAGATATGTTGAGCAGACCTGTAAGCTAAAGAGGCTCTGAAAAGGTTTTCTGATTTCACACCTCTGTTTGCAGATTTCAGACTGAAGTCAACTATGACACTCTGGAGGTCAGAGACGGGCCGGCCAGCTCATCCCCGCTGATTGGGGAGTACCATGGCACGCAAGCCCCTCAGTTCCTCATCAGCACCGGGAACTTCATGTACCTCCTATTCACCACGGACAACAGCCGCTCCAATGTTGGTTTCCTCATCCACTACGAGAGTAAGCCTGCTTCCTCAGCCCCCGCCCCCACCACTCAGCATGCACAGCTGAATCTAAAATAGATATCTTATTTTTTAATCCAAAATATTAAGGGGGTACAAATGTCTTTGGTTACATGAATCACTGTTGTAATGCTTAAGTCAGGGCTATGAGTGTGCCCGTCCCCCAGAGAGTGTTCATTGTACTGGATGGGTAGGTTGTGGCTCCCCTCCTCCAGTCCTCTTCCCCCCACCCCCGCCTTTCCACTGAGTTTTACTTCCCTCTGGGCAGAGTACTGTCGCATTTTATTTAAAAAGTCACCCCCTCATTTGTATTTCATGTGTCTGACTAAAAATTTTATTTAAAAAGTCACCCTCTCATTTGTATTTCATGTGTCTGACTAAATGAGGGGTGCTGTCGTCATAAGTTATGTCATTCAGACTTTGGTAAAATAAATGTAACAACAAGAAACAATATTTCAAAGATTGGTTTTGGGGATGAAGCATTCTGTGCACTAAACATACTATAATATTTTGTATTCCGAGTATAGGTCATTATTCTAACGTTCTGAGCCTCACTGAGAAAATAAGATACAGCAACAGGTCTTTTATTTATTTCTTTCTTTGCCTGTGTAACTATTGCAGTAATATCCTCTTCCCCTGTTCTCATTTGTTCCTTGCCTTTAAAAATATGTATTATTTTAGGATGAAAGAAAAATTTTAGTGTGAGAGACAGAGAAAAGAAAGTCAGCAGAACCATAATTCCTTAGATAACTGTCTATAGCACCTTTTTTTTTTTTCATTTTTTAGTGTAGACTATCTGTAGCCATCTTGAAAGTGGCTGATATACGTGTAAATTGGAAACTGGTCTGGATTTATGGAATACAGTTTAGAAACCCAAGTCTAGCGCACTTTTGAGTTGCCTTACATGTGTATGTGTGTGCTCTGGTGAGTGCAAGCAAAGTTTAGTGGCAAAGTCTAACTCACACATGACCTATGAGCTTGAAGGCAGGACAGGCATGGACTTTATTTAGTACAGTTCATTGATTTCCAAGAAGGAAAGTTAACTTCTGAGTGATCAGGGGGTTACTCTGGGGTGCACCACTTAGCTATCATCTGGTAAGTCCTGTAACAATATTAATCTAATTTGAAGATGCAGATGTTACTGGTTTTTACACTAATGGATTGTTGGGTTCACTTGCACGATTTTCTGGGTGTGAGCCTGGCTGGGAATATTTCATAGCTTCCGGCATGGATGCTTTTTCTTTTCATTAAACTGGCAAGGCCCCCATGTGAAGCCTCTTCTCTGTGCCTCTAGGTGTCACTCTGGAGTCCGACTCCTGCCTTGACCCAGGGATCCCTGTGAATGGCCATCGCCATGGCAGCAATTTTGGCATCAGGTCCACAGTGACGTTCAGCTGCGACCCAGGGTACACCCTGAGTGACAACGAGCCCCTGCTGTGTGAGCGAAACCATCAGTGGAACCACGCACTGCCCAGCTGTGACGGTAGGTGGCGCTCGCTCCCACAGAACCCCATGAGGACACCAGACCCTGGTAAACATCTGCAGTGCCCAGGCCCCTGGAGTCAGGGGTGGGACAAAATGAATGAGCGTCGTTTCTCTTTGAAAAGCTTTACACCTAAAAATATCATTGGTATTGACACTGGAAGTTTACCTACCAAATTTTCTTATTGGGTGGAAAAATCTGCTTAGAAATAAAGAATTAAATATATTTCCCTCTTTCCTCAAACGATGAAACTGACAGCTTTGTTTACATAGGGCTTATAATCAGGGCGTTTACCGAACAAGCACGTGAGACAGGTAGTGGCCATATGCAGCCGTGGTCCTCAGACCCAGTTTTCCTCTGACCCAAGTCGGATCTTGCAGTGGGTCTAACGCTGCCTTAGCTCCCTCTGACCTCTCGGAGAGCGGTCTCGCAGGGGCATCTATCCTGAGACCATGAGCTCTCAGGAGAGCAGCAGTGGCTTTGTGTGATAATAGCTTCTCCTCCTGCCTTGCGCTGATCTGTTCTTGGAAATCGCAAGAACAGACAGCATCCTGGATTACTGTGTGATACTGTACTGCTCAGCGTTACACTCTGCGGGGTATGGACAGCTGTGCTAAAATTTAGCTGTCATTAATATGCTACTTGGGATCATCTGCAAAAAACTTGAGGCTTTTTGTCTTTGTAGATGCATATGACCCCAGTATAGCATTTTCTCTATGGAAAAACAAAATGAAGACATAAATGTTATTTGCATTTTCAGTACTTTTTATACACGACGGGCATTTCTTTTCCAACACAATATATGCACTCAGTAAGTACTTTGGCTGCTTTAAAATTATGTATGCAAAATACTAAGTTTATGGGACAATTTAACTTAGCCATAGGCCACTCAAAATCTTTGACCTTTGTCACTAAAGTACTAACCCAAACAAAAATTGGTACTTCGGGAGAGCAAGGTCAAAATGCAGAGGAACCTCACACAAGTGGCCAGAGGCTATGTCAGAATGTATGAGAAGTACACAAAACCAGCAGAGAGGATGCTGGACTCTGGCAGGACCAGACAGGAAAGGAGGTCTTTGTCTGTAGGGTGCATGGGGGGTGCACCCTGTGCCACAGCTGTGCAAGGCAGCCCCACAGGGGAGCGTGCTTACTGTTCCTTGTCTTCCTCCTCTCCTCTCCTCTCCTCTCCCCTCCACCCCTCCCCTCTCCTCCCCTCCCCTCCCCTCTCTTGTGAGACAGGGTGTCATTCAGCCACCCTGGCTGCAGTGAAGTGGTGTCCTTAGTTACAGCTCACTGCAGTCTCAAATTCCTGGGCTCCAAGGATCCTCCTGCCTCACCCTCCCAAAGTGCTGGTTACAGGTGTGAGCAATCGTGCTGCCTACTTTTCTTAATAAAGGTCTTACGGAGCTTCCTTTTAGTCGGAAGATGAGCTGAGTCATCTTTCCTCTCCTGCTGTAATAATTCTAATCCACCAACTCCATTTACCTCGGGGGAAAATGCTATAAGGACTAACATGACTTTTACATTGTGTTGAAATCATTTGCAGTTTCCCAGTCTTAAATGAGCTGACTGTTCCTGTTGCAGCAGAACAGAGTATAGGAAGTGGGAGGATTGATAAACTGTGCATTTCCAGTTTATTCCTCTTATATCTCACGGCGACCATAGAAGTGGAGGAAGTTTTCTGGTGCTTTCTTTTTTTTTTCTCTTATGAATCTGCAACAGGGACTATAGGTGCAGATTTCCACAAAATATATATTTAAACTTTTCAATCCATCTAAAAAACCTTCTGGTATGGAATGATCTAGTGTCTAGATCTTTTTTCCTCCAGAATGAGTATTCAATGATCTAGCACATGTATGATAAATCATATTTCCTAGGCCCACTTTGTCATATAAATGTCATACATGTACGACTTGCGTGTTTTTGTCCTTTTATTGTGTCTTTTGAGAAATTTTCGTTGTGAAATCTTAGAAAGCCTTTTAAAGAAATCCATCAACAACAACTGGAAAACATTGACTGATTTTACTAAACAAATTAAACATCCGTCTATTAAAAAACATTAACAGTTGGAAAAAAGGGTACAGACCACAGAACATAATTCCACCCTTCACATACTATGCACACTAGATAATCATACCGTCCAGCTGGATGGGGGAGAAACAGCAGCAGAAGGGAGGCCCGGCTCTGAGAAGAAGATGTACCTAGGCAGCTCACAGAGGATGTGTACAAGGCCAAAAGGGCTTAAAAATATTCCCACCCTGGCTCAGTGCCTGTGGCTCAAATGGCTAAGGCACCAGCCACATACACCCAAGGTGGCGGGTTCGAATCCAGCCTGGGCTTGCCAAACAACAATGACAGCTGCAACCAAAAAAAGAAAATAGCCAGGCTTTGTGGCAGGCGCCTGTGGTCCCA